TATGTTCGTACTTTATACACTGTGCACATGGACTCACACTTGTCCCAACGCAACGGAAAGTGTGGAATTTCTTCTACAAATCCTGGTTAAATCCACATTTGTGCTTCGGTTCGTTACAGACTGACCCACTGTTTGTGTCTCGCTCCTTCTGATGCCCATCCCTAGTCCTAATAATGATGAGTCCTAACGGTGATATGTCCTAACAGTGATGTGTCCTAATAGTGATGTGTCCTAACGGTGATGTGTCCTAATAGTGATGTGTCCTAATGTCCTAAGAATAATGTGTCCTAATGGTGATGTGTCCTAACAGTGATGTGTCCTAATAGTGATGTGTCCTAATAGTGATGTGTCCTAACAGTGATGTGTCCTAATAGTGATGTGTCCTAATGGTGATGTGTCCTAATGGTGATGTGTCCTAATAGTGATGTGTCCTAACAGTGATGTGTCCTAATAGTGATGTGTCCTAATAGTGATGTGTCCTAATGTCCTAAGAATGATGTGTCCTAATGGTGATGTGTCCTAACAGTGATGTGTCCTAATAGTGATGTGTCCTAATGTCCTAAGAATGATGTGTCCTAACGGTGATGTGTCCTAATAGTGATGTGTCCTAACAGTGATGTGTCCTAATGTCCTAAGAATGATGTGTCCTAACAGTGATGTGTCCTAATAGTGATGTGTCCTAACGGTGATGTGTCCTAATAGTGATGTGTCCTAACAGTGATGTGTCCTAATGTCCTAAGAATGATGTGTCCTAACAGTGATGTGTCCTAATAGTGATGTGTCCTAACGGTGATGTGTCCTAATAATGATGAGTCCTAACAGTGATGTGTCCTAATAGTGATGTGTCCTAACGGTGATGTGTCCTAATAATGATTTGTCCTAACGGTGATGTGTCCTAATAGTGATGTGTCCTAACGATGATGTGTCCTAATGTCCTAATAGTGATGTGTCCTAACAGTGATGTGTCCTAATAGTGATGTGTCCTAACAGTGATGTGTCCTAATAATGGTGTGTCCTAATAGTGATGTGTCCTAATTTCCTAACAGTGATGTGTCCTAATATCCTAACAGTGATGTTTCCTAATAGTGACCCGGCCTTCGGAGGACCCAGCCTTCGGAGGACACGGCCTTTAGAGGACCCAGCCTTTAGAGGACCCGGCTTTCGGAGGACCCAGCCTTCAGAGGACCCGGTCTTTAGAGGACCCGGCCTTCGGAGGACCCGGCCTTCAGAGGTTGCAGCTCTTGATTCGGGACACTGCTCGTGTACAGGAGGCTGCAGTTCACAGAGCGTCCAGCAGAGAAATGAAAACAGGACTGACCTTTTGACCTTTGACACCGTCACAGTGACACAGAGACGCCCCGGTGCACACGCACATCTGAAACACACACACACACACACATGAATGAAACACACACACACATGAATGAGTGGGCGTCGCCGTGGGCGTGTCTGATAGTGCGTGTATCTCCGATGCAGTATCATGTTGTTCTTTGTGAACACAAGTGTTTTTAAACAGATTGCTGCACTATAAAGACATCACGGAACATTTTCCACTAAAACACTTTTGAAAAGGAACAAGTTTAAATTCAGTCAAAGACCTAAAAACATGTCCTAATCTGTGTTCTGTCATCTGTGTTCTCTTGTGTATCGTCCCTGATCTGATGTGAATATGAACAGAACCACGACCCTCATCTCAGCCACATTCCCCAAACCTAAACACCAGAAGCTCCTTCAGCTGCTCCCAGATCAGAGCCCAGATAATCAGGAGGCTCACAGTCGCTTTTCAAAATAAAACCAACAAGAAGAAAAGGAAAAAAAAATATTTTCTTCATTATTTGTCTCTAAAACAAAAATTTAAAAACAAATAATGATTCAGTTTTCGATTTTGTGTTTAAATGAATATTGGAAAAAATGGATAACAGACTAAACCAGGACTAAACAAGCACTAAACCAGGACTAAACCAGGACTAAACCACCAGGACTGAGAATGGTTTAGTCCTGGTTATATATATATATATATATATATATATATATATATATATATATATATATATATATATATATATATATATATATATAACCAGATATGGAACACGAGAAGCTAGAGAAATACCAGGGGCTCAAGGAAGAGCTGGAGAGAGCCTGGAAAGTAAAGGCATCAGTGGTGCCTGTGGTGATCGGACACTCGGGGCTGTAACCCCCAAACTGGAAGAGGCTTCAACAGATACCGGGAAAAACAATGGAACATCTCAGTCCAGAAAAGTGCAGGACTGGGAACAGCAAAGATACTGCGCAGAACTGTCAAGCTCCCAGGCCTCTGGTAGACGACCCGAGCTGAATGAGGGTGAGAGACCAACCACCGTGGAAGGTGAGAAACACATTTAAATTTATATATATATATATATATATATATATATATATATATATATATATATATATATATATATATATATATATATATATTCTTAGTTTTGGTTTTATTTTGAAAAATTTATGAACC